TTAATTTGTACTCACTTTAACCCAGATTTAATAATTTTGTATGTCATTTGGTTCATCCACCAAGACACTTCACAGGATTATATATTGAAGTGTAGGCATTTCTAAACTTAATTTTTGAAGCTTTCAATCTAAATGTGTGTCTAGATTCATATCAATTAATATGATTTTTTAGGGTAACATTAAGTTTTATGTTGACCTAAGCTCTCCACTTGTACTTTCTTATTTGATACACTGAATTCTCTACTACCTATGATTTTTCTCATCTAGGATTTTCCACATAAAATTTGTGTTCCTTTTTATTTATTTCATTAAGCATAGTAGAAAACAAAATATCAATTATATTTGTCGGTATCCAATTTACAAAGAGTGTGGAACATTTATTAGCATCATGAAATGCCTTTAATGGATTTATATTAGCACAAAACGGTTTAAATATATTCCTAATGCTGAAGTTATGTTCTATTTTATGGGCAAGAGCAATATTATTAACAATATCTCTTTCCTTCTTTTGAACCTGCTTGAATGGGATGAACAATGAGGCAACAATTTTCACGTACACTGCTTTGCTTTATGTTGCATTTTGAATTTTCTATGAATGAAGAAAATAACCCAACTAACAGCGAAGATTCAAGCCCTTTTTGGGAATAAAGAAAATTCAATCATTTCATAGGAATTATCGTGTAAATAGGCAAATATCGTCTTTGAAAATACTTCTGATGCCCACTTTAAGCTACTAAGGTAGGCTAGAATTATTATACATGTATCTAAGGAAGAGAAGTCAAATCTTTCTTAATCACAGGTCAGAAAAAATCATAAAAAGCATGCACTGTGTGTGGCCCAAACTTTTTATATCATCTTTTATGATGCGCATGTTAATGTGATAAGGTGAGAGCCATTATCTGGTAATGTGGAGGTGGGGCTGAAAAGCCTGGAAGAGAACTGCAAGATTGTCTTGGGAGAGGCTGCCACTGCTTCCTTTTTGTTTAGACTCGGCCCAATAACGAAAGACGATTTATAGAAAAGTTGAATTTATATTTGCAAGTGTTTTGTATGTTTCATTTGTTTCTAGCAAGGAAAGAATATCGTTGCAAGGGATAAGATATACACCTGTTGTTGTGGTATATATATAGAAATAAAATAGAAGAACGATCTTTGAAGCGAAAAATAGAACGATAAAAATTCACACCAGAAAACAAAAACATGGCGGAATACACAGATTTACGTGGTTCGGCGAATTGCCTACTTCCACGGAGTTGCAGAGGATTTTACTACTAGAGGAATTTACATCAGTCGATTACCTCGACTTACAAAAGGAATCTCTCACTTTTTGCTCTCTCTTCTTCTCTCTATTCTTCTCTCTCTACACCGAGATACACCGAAGAAACTTTACACCAAAATACACCGAAGAAAACAAACTTACAAGAGAAATAAACTCAATTTTTCTTCTGTCACAAGTCACCAAGATGAAGCCAGGGGAGAATAATCTTCTTCTTCTTCTTTCTTCTTCCTTCATCGCAAGGAATTACTGTTTGTACTTTCCTTTCTTCTATTATGAGGAAACCCGAAGAAGAAAACCGTGACTTCTAAAACTGAAGGAGAGTCGTCTGAAGCCTTTTATCACAAACAAGAGCGAGCGAAGATGCTATGCTTCACAACAGAGAAAGGTGGGAGCGGTTGGCGCGTGACTGAAGAGGCCGGAGGCGCGAACGAGAAATCACGACCTTTCGCGATCGGAA